ATCCTTCAGCTATATACCAAGTCTGTTTTCACATTCTCAGTCCCCTCACTCCATCCGAGGAGTCTGCGCGGACCCGGAGACGTCGTGTGGATGGCCTGTTTCCGGGAGTGAGGGTGGAGGTCGCTCTGTGTGTCCAGCTCTCTTGGGTGTCTTCTCCATCCTCAGCCCTGTGCTTCCTGCTCTGCCCATCTTCCCCTTCCCCTGCTGATCAGCCTGAGTGGGTTTGGGAATGAGAGTAGCCTGACAGCTTGTCCTGCAGCTGAATGCTCCAGGTTCAAGGTTTCAGTTTTTGGTGGACATCAGAATCTTTTGTGAAGCTTATTAAATGTGCAAATGCCTTGGCCCCACCCTGGCCTTCTGGAATCAGAATTTCCAGGGTTTTCAGGGCTCCTTGCAGGTATATGGGAAGATGATTCTAGGGCACAGTTTAGTCTAACTAGGAAATGCCGACATTGGAGAGCACCTGTGACAGGCAGTGGCCATATGGTGCTAAGAGAATGGGTTGCTGGGGTGCCCGTGGGGATGAGGCAGCAGAGTGATGAGCAGCTGCTGTGTGCCAGGCGTGTGGGGTCCCGTGGTGAAGAAACTGGCTCAGAAGGAGGGATCAGGAGTCACCTAATCTGTTTTTTTGCTTTCAGAAAACACTTCTAAGGTCATTCTGGTTTTTAATCCTTAGCTGTATTAGTTTCCTAGGACTATGTGGCAAATTACCACAAACTTGGTGGCCTCAAACAGCAGAAATGTATTCTCTCACAGTTCTGGGGAGTCTCTTACAAGGACATTTGTCATTGGATTTAGGACCCACCCGAATAATCTAGGATGACCTCATCTTGAGATTCTTAATCGCACGTGCAAAGAGCGTTTTTCCAAATGAGGTACCATTCACAGTTTCTGAGAGTCAGGATGTGGAGATATCTTTTTGGAGGGCACCATTTAACCTATCACCCCAGGGAAGGAGGCTCTATAATCTTTTCTGCTACCATTATTTCTCTTACAAAGCGATTAAGATGAATATTTCTTTTTGAGCAACCCTACAATCTTCAGAATCTATAAGCATCTTTTTTATGTAATTGTTGATTTAACATCATCTCCATTGCATTTATTGGCTGTGATACCTGGCGATGACCAGGAGACTCATTTAGCACTGATAAACTTTAGTAGAAATAATAAAATAATTGTTGAGCTGTAATTTAAAAATTATTATAACTATTAAAAGAGCTTTAATTATTTGAAACTTACAACAAAGCGTTTGTGATTCTCATTAGTCATTCTCCTCTCTGGTTCACATATGAGTAACCCGGCTCCTCTTCACCTGGGATCACACTACCTGGAGATGCCTGTGTGTGAAGCACACAATCCCACAAATTAAGGTCTGCATTTTAGACCATCTTACCTTGTGATAGTAACACCAGAACAGGCACTGGCTGGAAACTGCAGACATGAATGTGAAGGGTCAACTCAAGGACATCCATGGTTTCAGACAAGAAATATTAATCCACTTCGCCAAACTCCACTGAAATATACTGTTTTAGGTCTAGATATTTTTTTAAGTGACAGGATTCTGGCTATTAATCTGAAAATAAAGGCTTCAGGAGTTCTGCAGACTTAGTAATTAGATCCTGCTCATGTTTCCTGTTGGAACAGTACCTTTGGGCTTGACAATAGGGAATAATTTCAGATTGTGAAACAATACTAGATTCCTTAGCTTAATTGATTTGGGGCTTAAGTTTGAAATCACTGTTTATTTTCTCAGTTCATGGAATCTTAATCCACCTGGCCTTCTCTCTGCATTTGCAGCCAAATGTTGCTTGGGCCGGACTTCCATTTCAAGTACTTGTGTGAGAGTGTGGGGTGCCTCTGCATGGCCTCTCCCGGAAGCCTCAGATGTGGACTCCCTGGGAATGCACTGTCCTCTCTTGGGGCATAAGCTTCCTAAGTGTGGGCATTTGTCTCCATGGGAGTCTGCCCACTAAGAGCCTGTCTTTCCGAACTGGCTCCAACTGTTTCCGTATTAGGTATCACTTTCATTCTTTTTAAAAAATAAATTTTTATTTATTTTTAAAAATTTGTTAAATTAATTAATTTTTTAATTGGAGTAACATTAGTTTATAACATTATATAAATTTCAGGTGTACATCATTATATTTCAATTCACCAACCAAAGACTAATTACCATCCATCACCATCCAAAGGTTCATTCATTGTTTTTGCTCCCAAGAAGTATTCCTTCCAGAATTACTTTAAAACTTCCAAAAAATTCTCCTTTTTAAGCTCTTGCAGGTGGAAACAAGAATTGTTCATCTTCAAGATAGCAATTTTGGCCGGTGTATCTTCATATGTCTAAAGAACATTTGAAATATATCACTTGGGAAAACAAGCAAACATTTGGACCTTTCAGGTGCGTCTACTCAAAAGATCCCTGGAAACCCTTTTAAAAAGGTAAATTTCTGGACTAAACTTGTAGAAAACTTTAAAAATAATATACTACATTAACTTGTTTAAAAGAAAGATAAACAATGAGACACCTTTGGGGCCCCACAAAATGATTTTTTGTATAGACCAAATAAGGCTAGATTTTAATAGGCAGATTTTTCCAAACAGATCTTCTAAATTTGATGAAAATCTGTCTAGTTTTTTTCATCTGGTGCAGTAGACAGAGAAAGAGGTCTATAGAAAGAAATGTAACTTACACAGATTATTAATTTCCATACACATTCCAATCATACAGATTAATGAGGTACATCATTATAAAGTTCAGGAATTTATAGACAGCTGACAGGTTCTTTTTATGGCTTTATTCTATTTCCAAGGCTATATAAATGAGTCTTCTTTCTTCCCTCAGCTGAATTTCTTATACCAAATCTGTTATCAAGGTCAAAATGTCTGTTGAATCGGTCTTTTTTTTTCTTTCCATTTTCCCTGGCACCACCCATGTCTAGGTTTTCATGACTTCATTCCTGGATTACCACTCTAGGCTTTAAATAAACCCCATTTTATTATTGAAACATTCAAACACACACAAAAGCAGGGAGAATAGAATATTGAACCAACACGCACCTACCATGAAGCTTTATTAATTACAAACATTTTGCCGTTCTTTTTCTTCCCCCTTATTTTTTTCTGGAATGTGGTAAAGCCCACTCCACTCATCATGGGATGTCTGTGAGTATCTCTGATAAGCAATTTGTCTTCCATAGTTTTCTAATTATTCTTCCTCTCATCTTCTCATTTTTCTCACCAATCCAAAAATTTCCAACAATTTGGCATACTCTTACGAAAACTTAGAAAGGTTTTCACAGGCTCAGTATTGTTTATTGAACCTGATGCAAACTCTTGTACTGGTTTGCAAAGCCATCTTTATTTCAGCTTCCCCCTTCTGTCAAATCTTCCCCAAAAGGCTACCAGGTGGGTCTCCTCACTACTCAGCCAATGCCATGTTATTACTGTCTCTGGTCATGCTCTTGCTCACCCAAATTCTGTGCATCCCAGAAAGCTCTGCTTGGGTACCACTTCCTCTATGAAGCTTTTCCTAGCTCATACTGACTTCTCTCTTCCTTGAACTCTTGGGATTTAAACACAGTTCCTCTAACTTTAAATCTTCTATTTTCTGTAGTCTTAATTATTGTACTCTGGAAAGTGGGCTCTGAATCACTGACTAGCAGCATTTGTTTTTAAAGAAAACTTTATAATATTTGGGTGAATGGTATCTCTATTGATACAAAGAAGGTCAGTGGTGCTGGGCAGAATCTAGCATTGGTGTAGCAAGCAGAATTCTAAGACAGCCCCACGATCTCAGCCCCTGGTGTTACTCCTGTGATTGTGTTTTGTTACACGGCAAAGTGGTTTTTCAGATGTAATTAAGGTTACTAATCAGTTGACCTTAAGATAGGGAGACTATCCAGGTGCACCTGACCTAATCACACGAGCCCTTTAAAAGCAGAGTTTTCTCTGGCTGGTCGTAGAAGAGGAAGTTAGAGAGAGGCTAAGCCTGAGAAGGATTCAACCCACAATCATTGGCTTTGAAGATGGAGGAAGGGGACTATAAGCCAAGGAATGCAAGCAGTTTCTAGATAGCCAGAAAGACAGTGGGATCTCAGTCCTACATGCCCAAGGAACTGAATTCTGCCAACAAGATGAACAAGCTTGAAAGGAGTTTCTTCTCCAGAGCATTCAGGTAAGAGCCCAACTCAGCTGACACCTTGAGTTTGGCCTTGTGATACTCCACGCAGAGTCAACACCGCCCAGACTTCTGATTTGCCAAAGTGTGAAATAATAAATGGGTAGTTTTTTTTTTTTGAGGAAGATTAGCCCTGAGCTAACATTTGCTGCCAATCCTCCTCTTTTTGCTGAGGAAGACTGGCCCTGAGCTAACATCCATGCCCATCTTCCTCTACTTCAAATGTGGGACGCCTACCACAGCATGGCTTGCCAAGTGGTGCCATGTCCGCACCCGGGATCCGAACCGGCAAATTCCAGGCCGCCAAAGTGGAACGTGCGCACTTAACCGCTACGCCACTGGGCCGGCCCCTGGGTAGTGTTTTAAGTTGTTAAGTTTGTGGTAATTTGTTAAGCAATAATAGACAACTAATAAAATAGGTAACAGTGTTTGAGCTTGTAGTGAAATTTTATGCAGTTCCTGCTATTCTATTTTTTTTCAGTTTTATTGATATGATTGCCATACAACACTGTTTAAGGTGTTACAGCATGAAGACTTGACTTGAACATCCCTTACCTCATAAAGTTACAATACATTTTCGTTTTTCCTTGTGACGAGAACTTTTAGGATCTACTCTTTCAGCAACTTTCAAATATACCGTACAGCAGTGTTAACTATAGTCACCATGCTGGACGTTACATCCCCAGGACTTATTTATCTAATAACTGGGAGTTTGTACCTTTCCCCCTTCACTCAATTCCCCCACCTCCCACCCTCCACCCTGGTAACCACAAATCTGTTCTCTTTTTCTATGAGTTTGGTTATCTTTTAAGATTTCACATATAAAAATATGGAATGCTTCACAAATTTACCTGTCACCCTTGCACAGGGGCCGTGCAATCTTCTCTGTATTGTTCCAGTTTTAATATATGTGCTGCTGAAGCGAGCACCCAGCTGTTCTTATGAAGGTTCCATATCAGTAAGGGAGGTTTTCCAGTCAATGGAGGCACTCGTCTTAGCACCTGTGATCACAGCACGGGCGAGCAGTGCCCTTACTTTATGACACCTCACCCTTGTCCATCAATTTCCCACTGCAGGTAGGACAATTTCAAGGAAAGGAAAGTCTAGCTTCCCTATTGCCTGTATTTTCAAGAGTCTGCAGGAGGGTCCTCAAGCAGGGGAAGATGCTTAGGACAGCTCACCTGACTGGTAGTAGCATCGGTTCACTCTGTGACCACACTCTGTTTGTTTACCTCTGCTGTGAGAGTGGGGCACATTTGGTAGGGAACGTACCCCCATGCTCTGTAGCAGCCAAGATTTCAGGTGGTAGAACTTGTTCATAAAATGCATAGAGACACTCACTGACTTCAGGAACTGGTCAACAAATATTTACTGAAGATGCTTAGGAAGATGAGACCTGAAATGACAGTTTCTTCTGCAGCCGAGAATCAGAGAGGAGGGGCAGGGGCTTGACTAGTTTAACGGGCATCTGTTCCTCCAGCCACACACGTATAACGCAAACGCATGGTTAGACATTCATTTGGGGTGTCTGTGTGTGATTCACAAAGAACTGGTTCCTCATAAAATTTATTGCTGAATGATTCATTACAGGGTGGTGATGAGGATAAAGCTTCTATTTTAAAAAGTTAGGCAAGTAGCCTTTCAAAAATCAGCTTTGTGAGGTATAATTTACATACATTAAAATGCATACCTTTTAAGAGTTCAGTAAATGTATACACCTATGTAACCATCACCACAATCAAGACAGCACATTTTCATCACACCAGAAAGTTCCCTCCTACATATCCCTTTGCAGCCAATCCCTCCTTCCCCCCACAGCTCCAGGCAACCACGGCTCTGATTTCCATCACTCTGGGTTAGCTTTGTCTCTCCAGCGTTTCATAGAAGTGGAACAACACAGCACGTACTATTTGGTGTTGAGCTTCTTTTACTCAGCATGATGTTGTTGAGACACATTCACATTGTTGTATTTATTAGTAATTTATATTTTTATTGATGATTAATATCTTTTTGTATTAGTAACACAATTTGTTAGCCATTTACCTATTGGTGCATATTTGGGTTGTTCCCAATTTTGGATAAAGTTGCTATAAACAATCTTTGTGTGAATGTATGCTTTTATTTCATTTTAGTAAACAGCTAGGAGTGGAGTAGCTGGTTCATATGATAAGTGTATGTTTAACTTTAAAAGAAACTGTCAAACTGTTATCGAAAGTGGTTGTACTATTTTTCACTTTCTTTGTAGAAGAGATCCAACTATTCTCCATCTTCTCCATTGGTCGGCATTGTCAGCCTTTGTAAATGTTAGCCTTTCTAATGCATGTGTAGTGGTATCTCATTGCAGTTTTAATTTGCAATTACCTGATCACTAACGATGTTGAGTATCTCTTCCTGTGCTTATTAGCCATTCATATATCTTCTTTGGTGAAGTGTCTGTTCAAGGCTTTTGCCCTTTAAATAATAGTAAGATTAGGGCTGGTCCCATGGCCTAGTGGTTAAGCTCAGCGTGTTCCACTTCAGCAGCCCAGGTTCAGTTCCTGGGCGTGGACCTACACCACTTGTCAGCAGCCATGCTGTGGTGGCGTCCCACAAGCAACATAGAGGAAGGTTGGCACAGTTGTTAGCTCGGGGACAATCTTCCTCAAGCAAAAAGAGGAAGATTGGTAACAGATGTTAGCTCAGGGTGCATCTTCCTCAGCAAAAAAAGGAAAAAGAAACAATAATAAGATGGTTATTATTTTTGAGTTGTAACAGTTTTAAAATAGATTCTGGATATAATTCCATTGTCAAATATATATATTACAAAAACTTTTCCCAGTCTGTAGCTTGCCTTTTTGTCATTTCTTGAAAAAAATCTATTTTGCCCCATTTTTACCTTCTTCTCCTTCTGAATCTCTGATTATACATATTTAGACAATTTTCTATTGTCCTACAGGTCTCTAAGGATCTGTTTACTTTTCTTCAATCTATTTTCTCTCCATTCATTAGATAATTTAGGTAATTATTCATTTAGATAATTACCATTCAGATAATTTCTATAGATCTGTCTTCCTATGTTCAAGTTCCTCACGGACTTTCTTCTCCCATCTCTGATCTACTGTGAATTCTTTTTGTCCTTGTACTTTTCAGTTCTAGAATTTCTATTTATCTCCTTTTTATGTTTACATTTCTCTGCTGAGATTTCCTATCTCTTCACTCAGTAAGCCCATATTTTCTTAATTCTTTGAACATATATATATAGTTTAATTCTTTGAACCATATTTATAGCAGCTGCTTTAAAATCTTTGTCTTCTGAATCCATCTTCTCAGTAATGTTGGGATTGGGGCTTTTCCCTTGACGATGGGTCATGGTTCCCTTTTTTTTTTTATCATGTCTAGTAATTTTTTTTATTGTATGCTGGACATTGTTGACGATGCATCATGTAAGCTCTGGGCTTTTGCTATATTCCTTTGAGAAATGTTACCTTTTCTTCTCTTAGACAGCTCACTTCCTGGTTGCTCACCTTGCACTTCTGCAGGCTTTTCTTTATGCTTTGCTAAGGTACACCTTTGGAGAGATCAATGTATTTCCCAAGCCCCTCTCTCTTGGCAGGTCCCAACCTCCAAATTCGGTTTCCACTGCAAATCTTTTAAAGGCTTGGTTTTGGGCTTTGTTAGGGAGGGCCGGAAGTGGACCTCACCCTAGAGCATGGTTCTAATCTTTACTGGTGTCTCAGATAGATGCCTGGTGTGTCAATAAATTGATAATAAGGTCTTGCCACTCTGGCTTGGCCCGAACTTCAATGTCAACTGCACTGTTTGATATCTGGTATCTCCATTCTTCTCTTGTCTCCATAGTAACTGCTCTCTATAGTTGCTACAAATCTCCAGTAGTCTTGCCATGGGCGTGTGCATCTTAGCCTTGAGCCAAGGATTCATAGGGAAACTTCTGCGTAACTTCTGGGACTCTCCCTTCTCTGTCTATCCCCCACATAGCCGCTTTACTTTCTGGGGCTTTGGCCTACAGATTTTGGCTGCTTCAGCTCTCCTGAACTCTGAGCTCTGCCTCTTCATCTCAGTAGGACCGCTGTGCTCTGCTTGGATTCTAGTTTGCTATGTAATAGTTGGGTAATTGTGCCCAGGTAGAGAAATCATGGGGCTCACCTTACACATCTCTCCTCTCTCAGGGCCACAGCGTCCTGTTTCCTGTTGTTCAATGCTTAAAAAGGATTGCCTCATGTATTATCTCTAATTTTATTGTTAATGACAGAAGAGCTTGTCCAATACCAGTTGCTCCATCACATCTGGAGGTGAAAGTTTGCAAGACATGCTCTTAAGGGTTAAATTAGGTAAACAGGAATGTATTTAGTTAAGAGGGGTCCTAAAGATTCTTTTTTGGCTGAAAAAGCATTTTTAACAGTCATGAATCCCATGCTATGGCTTACGACGCTGGCCCTAATAAGGAGGTTAGTGTGTTGGGATAGAGTGTAGTTTCTCTATGCTGTGTCAAAAATTGAGCCTAATAGCCATTTCTTCTCTCTAGGAAACAGAAAGAGGGTCTCTAAAAACAATAGTAGTAGTAGTAGTAAGAATAATAACTTCCTATTATTGAGTACTTAATGTTCTAGGTGCTGTTTTTAAGACTTTATTTTTATTAACCAATTTATTCTTTGTAATAACTTTATTAGTAATAACTAGTAACTTTATTACTAACATTAGTAATAATATTAATAATTACATTAGTACTAATATTACTGATTAATAATCCTGTTTACAGATGAGAAAATTGAGGTACAAGTAGGTTAAACAACTTTCTTGAGATGACGTGTCTGGTAAGAGGTAGAGAGGGGAAGTCTGCAGAAAGCCTTGCCAGTTTCTACTATAGAAATATTACATAGCATAAAAGATCTGAGAGAGAAACACGAAACACAGAAATGTGTAGGTGAGTAGGTGAAGGTGTTCACCAGCACATGTATGAGAGGGTGTGTGTGGGCATGTGGGAGCTCCCACCTCAGGGTCTTCCCAAACACCGTCCTCTCCCTTGACCTCCCCTCATCACCTTCAGTCAACTTCAACTTGTCCTTCAGGGTTGAGCTTCAACATCACCACTGCAGGGAAGCTTGTTACATGCTTTCGTAATATATTGTTCTTTATTTTTTCTATTACTATCATAATTCAATTTACCAAAATTTTATTTAATGATACCTTTTCTACTAGATGGTAGGCTCCATGGGGCCTGTTTCCCACCATGTATCCAACACGCAGCACAGTTTCTGGCAAGGAGTGTGTGCTCAATGTGTATTTGTTGAATGAATGAATGGCTATTCACAAGCGAGGAGGTTTCCCTTCTCAGATTGCTATAAATTGGTTTATCATTGAGAATTGCCTACTTTTTGGCTTTTTCCTCCTATCAAAAAAGTTACATTCGGAAAATTCATTCTTTTTGATGTACAGGTTTATGAGTTTTCACACAAGTGAAGAGTCATATAAAAATTACATACAGCAAAATTCATTCTTTTCGATGTACAGGTTTATGAGTTTTTACACAAGTTAAGAGTCATGTAACTACCACAACAGTCAACATATAGAACAATTTCACCTTCCCCCCCCATTCATACTCGATAACCCTTTGTAGTCAAACTCTACTCCTGACCTTTAACCTTTGGCAACCATTGAGAATTGCTTATTTTACATTACCCAGGGCTCTTTTTTTCTTTCCCATGCGGCTTTGTCCCTATTTCAGCTATCTTACCACTCAGCAGCACTCCTAAATACTTTATCAGAGAAATGAAGTTAGACAGTTGCCTTACCCATCTATGCCCCGCATGGAATACTTTAAGCAAATAACGTGATGACTCGGAAGAAGAAGAGGGCCACGGGTCAGCTGGGTTTTTGTCAGCGGCCAGTTATTTCTGCCCTCTTAACAGCTCTGGCATCTGTACACGTCTGT